GGTGTGCGGTTGTTTTTCAGGTGTTGGACTTGGCCTCTTTGTTCCAGTGAAGGGAACTCTTAAGGTGCCAGCACACCAAGACATTTTAGACAATTTCATGCTCCCAACTTTGTGGGAACAGTTTGGGGATGACCCCTTCCTGTTCCAACATGACTGCGCACCAGTGCACAAAGCAAGGTCCATAAAGACATGGATGAGTGTGCAGGCCAGTCAAGTTCTTTCACCACAAAGTCAGAGTCCTGATCTCAACCCGATAGAACACCTTTGGGATGACCATGAGCCAGGTCTTCTCTTCCGACATCAGTGCCTGACCTCACAAATGTTCTTCTGGAAGAATGGTCAAACATTCCCATAGACACACTCCTAAACCTTGTGGACGGCCTTTCCAGAAGGGTTTAAGCTGTTATACCTGCAAAGGTTGGGCCAACTCAATATTGAACCCTATGGACTAAGACTGGGATGCCATTAAAGCTCATGTGCGTGTAAAGGCCGGCATCTCAATACTTTTGGCAATATAATGTATATTGATCGAGTCTACTTAACTGTTCCTACAAATTGGCATGGTAACAGCATCATAAAATGTCAATGATTGTTCCACTTTTAGTGCCACAGCAGGTCTATGTGTTGTGAAGGTGGAACCTTTCAGTGACATCAGCACCTCTCCCCCTGCCCAGGAGGTTGAGTGACAGCACAAGATCTGATTCACCCATACACATTCGGGGCAGATAAGTGAATCCTCATGCTGTGCTATTGTGTGTTGATGGCCACTCACCTCGCCGTATGAACACACTGAGCATTGCTTCCAGCTATAGCCGGTGGCACTGATCAACTGGGAAAAACCCAACAGGTTGGTTGTACAGAGCTCAAGCAGTGGACCTGCTGAGGCTATGTTCAACCTAGAGGCGATGTCATTGCTACTGTTACTAGGTAAAATCTGGGTTTGCAAAGTGGATTTATATACTTTGTGCTAATTGAGGAATATGTTTTAAATACAATTTTTTATGGCCAGAGCTCAGCTATAAAGCGGTATTAAACCCATGGCAAATATTTATTATATTGCAGCTTACCAATTCTTAGATGTGATGGCTGCATTAGCTTTCTTTTTTTAGGCTCTCTTTTATTTTCATCTGGTGATCCAGCCAGTAAGTCTGTTTTTCAGAAGAAAAATCTCTTGCAGATGTATCAGAGGGATGAGCCAAACCATTCAACACTGGCAGTGGTGCTTACAATGATCAGTTTTATTTATGTAAAACATTCATCTCAAAAGGAAAAAGAAAAAAAAAACTATTTGTTTTAACTACTTAAGCCGGCCATGGACGATTCCAGATTTGACCTGTATGGGCAGGATGATTGTATACAGATCGATCAACTTGGGTACAACCAGCCTGTAGGATTTTTCATGCAATTATTACTAGCAATAATCACTGTGTGTTCTGCCAGCAGGAACAGCTCCCTCCGCCAGAAAAACACTTACCTCTGCGGGAGTTGATCCACTGCGTTGATGGTGAATTCGAATGATTCTCTTTCCTGCAACCTGTGATTGCAGGAAAGAAAATCACACTATGGCCATCTTCATAAAGTGTGAGCAGGAGTTTGGTTTCAGTTTCTTGGTGTATTACATTTAAAACTCCCCTCCCCCTAGACTGGCAATGGTGATGTCCAAAGGCGCCCCCTGTGGTCATTTATCCAGCACCCCCCACCCCACTCACCCTAAGCCCCCCTCTCGATCCAGCAACGTGCACTGGAGTCTCGGCTATCCTGGGACTTCCTTTCCTCATTGGCTAACACAGTAGCAGGAACCATTAGCTTCCGCTGCTGTCAATCACAGCCAGTGAGCCAATGAGAAGAAAGTGGGCGGGGCCAAGCCGTGACTCCCTGTGCGAATGAATGCACACATGGAGAGGCAGCTCAAGAGCGGGTGCCCCTATAGCAAGCTTCTTGCTATGGAGGCACCCGACAGGAGGGAAGGGTCAGGAGCGCTGGCAGGGAAACCCAGAAGAGGGGGATTGGGGCTGCTCTGTGCAAAACCACTGCACAGAGCAGGTAAGTATACCATGTTTGTTAAGCCTTTAGTATTACTTTAAGTGAACATTTTCCCATTAGCCCAGGGTGCAGTGTTTGATAGATAGCAATAGCCGATCAATGAATGGTTTCAGATGGTGCCTAGAACTGATCAAGAAACAGCTCATGACTTGACAAAGATACACCCCATCAACAACTTTTTTTATTTACAATGAACAGAATAGAAATGGTAACAGCTCTGTTCAGAAGATGGTAATTCGTTGTCACATTAAGGCTGTCCTTGTTGCCCTTTCAATCCATATCAAATCCCAGCTGTCATTTTGCTCTTGCAGCTCATGAAAGGGAATGATTGGTTACTACAGGTAACACAATCTGTTCCTTCACAATCAGTAGCTTCTTCTGTTGAGGAAAGATATGACTCCTCTACTTTTGATTGTCCAATTGGAGTGCTGCATCCCTGATACTGACAGGTTCTCTTTGTCCCTTCCAATCACAAGGTCACATAATCCTGTTCTTAGACTTCCTCTGGTTTGTTCCGATGTATTTCAGTTTAGTGTAAGGCGGCTTTTCTATGATGTCTGTGCCCATGTAAGGCTGCAAGACCTCAGGAACCCGCACTCTGCCATCCTAGGACAAGAAGCACAGCATGAGAGCATCTTCCAAACACAGTAAAAGATGTGCTCCTACACATTAGATCTGCTTGCTAGTGGTTTACGCTATTAGTTGACTTGCAAATCTCAATCCTTGTACATATGAAAAATAATCTATACATGTAAAACGCTGTACAGCTAAAATAACCAATTACTGGGAGGAGGAGATGGTTGCTAAAGCCTGGTACACATGATGAGAATATCGTACAAACCATCGTCAGTTTTTTTTTTGCATGCTAGTCTGATAATGAAAATGAAAAGGTTAGGAAAGTTACACAAATTTGCATATGACAGAATACAACTTCGGAAGAGATGTAATGTATTGTATCGTATCATATGCTTTCGTGTCTGAGCATGGGTGGTCTTGCGTTTCCGATTTTTTTTTTTTCTGTACGAATACTGTACTGGTTAAACGAAAATCATACAATCTGCTATAGGACATAAAAAAAAAAAAAACCAAAAATTGTGCTTGTCCCTTCGAATATTTTTGAATAAAAGCTGTGTACTAACGATCAGATTATCGTACAATCACTTCGCAAGCAGTATTTTTTCATTCCCTTTTCTGGTCGTGTGTACTAGGCTTTACACTTCAAAAATGCTAATTTCAGACGGTTTTAAAGCCCTCCCTTTAACGTCTATGGGGCCAAAACTGCCCCTTCTCTTTCAACAGTAGATCATGTACCTTTTAAAATGTCAGGCACAGGTGCCTGTGTGCTTATATGTGAAAAGACAATTCAATAGTAGAGGGTTTTGGTTGTTAAAACAGAATTCCATCCTAAACCTAACTAGTCCTAAAAATGTTCCATCCCCACTCCTAACACCTATGCTGACTGATCTGTATAAAAGATGGATAAACTTACCCATTTTCTCCAGCCACGTGATCCCCTTGTGTCAGTCAGCAGTGGCTGCAGGGGAGACAGCACTTGCCAACAGCTGGGAATACCTGGGAATGGTGATGTCACCCATATGCTCCCATGTCTCAGCAGTTGTTGGTGCTCCATCCTCTCCCCTGCAGCCATCACTGGCTGACAAAGGGAAGCTGGATCAAGCAACTGTACTGAAGTGGACTAAAAATAGGTAAGTACACTCTATTGCCAAAAGTATTGGGACAGCCCTCCAAATGATTGGATTCAGGTGTTCCAATCACCCGAATGGCCACAAACATTTGTGAAATAATGGGTCGCTTTCAGGAGCTCAGTGAATTCAAGCGTGGTCCCGTGATAGGTTGACACCTGTGCAATAAGTCCATCCATGAAATTTCCTTGTTACTAGTCCACGGTCAACTGTTAATGTTAGGGTCATTTCTTATATGCTTGTAGGTTTTTGCGTATGGGGACCTGTTTATGCTTTGGTCAGAACAGATATCTTTAACCCCTTATTCATGCCCTTTTAACATTTTGGGTTTTTGACCCGATGTTAATTACCTGGACACTTTTTAATCCCCTCCTGGCTAAAATATTGTTATCCTGTTTTCAAGGTTAGTTTATAAGAAAGTGAAAAGTGCAGTGCTACACATATTAGGTTGTATACTACCTATTTGTGCCAGCTGCTTGGTATTAACAGTCAGCGCGGATATACCGTTTTACTTTTATAAGGTTAGTTTATAGTTGAGGTTCTTTGGTTGGTTTGTTTTTTTTCCCTTTCCTTTTCTAACCACTTAGCCTCCTGAGAATTTACCCCCCTTCCTGACCAGGCCATTTTTTGCGTTACAACGCTTCATTACTTTAACTGACAATTGGGCGGTCATGCCACGCTGCACCCAAATGAAATTCAAGTCCTTATTTTCCCACAAATTGAGCTTTCTTTGGGTGGTATTTGATTGCCTGTGCAGTTTTTATTTTTTGTGCTATAAAAAAAAAAAAAAAAAAACTAAAAAAAGACGGACAATGTTGAGAAAAAAAAAAAAACATCAATATTGTTGACATTTTGCTATTAAACATGTCCAGTAAAAAATGTTAAAAATCAAATTTCGTCATGAATTTAGGTCAAAATGTATTCTGCTCCACGTCTTTACTAAAAAAAAATCCCAATACGTGCAAATTAATTGGTTTACGTGAAGGTTATAGCGTTTACAAATGGCAGTATATATACTGGGACTTATTTTTTAACTTTTACTAGTAATGGCGGCGATCAGCGACTTATAGCGGGACTGCGGTGGACATTCTGACACTGGGGGGAACCGACCTTGTGTCCATGACATCCCCAGTGACACCAATACAGTGATCAGTGCTTAAAAAAAAAAAAAAAAAAAAAAGCACTGACACTGTACTAACGGCACTGGGCAGGAAGGGGTTAACATGAGGGGTAATCAAAGGGTTAACTGTGTGATCAAAGGTAATGAGTGTAATCCACAAGTGAGAAGTTCACCTTTAACTGGTTTGACTCCAGAAGGGCAATGATGAGTCGGGGAACTGCGCAGGCTGTACCATTAATCTACAAGAGAAAAGACCAGATTATACCTAGTGCAGAATAAATGAATATAAATCATTATAAAGAAGAAAAAAATATTGATGTAAAAATAGTGTCAGTTGCCCATGAACAATATAACCAGGTTAGAGTTTCTAAAAATATTATTAAAAAAAGGCACACTACTGAAAAATAAAAGGACACTGGCAACACAGCAGGTCTGGAGATTTCCATCCAGATACAGCTAGAGTCCACCCACTCTCTTTTAGTGGTCATCTGGGAACCCCTTTTGTTTATAAGTTTTTAAAACAGGAGAGGTGTTCCTGAATGCACCTGGTGTATGCTCTTTCTGTACCCAGAACATTTTTCCAGCCAAAAATCAGATTCAATACTACTTGAAAGATTGAAACTGATGGGCGATACATCAAGGAGGAAAAGAAAAAGCGATAGAGTGAATCATGAAGCAGACCTACCTAGACTGCTCTCTGCAATCTGACTCATTGGGTTACAGAGAATACAGTTTAAGACAAGCGGAGAGGACTTTCTGAATTCAGCACAGCAGTGCAGTGTACTGTGTAGCACTAGCTGTTCATTGATCGATTTCACTGACTTCAGATGTTGCCTGGAATTGCTCTTTAAACCTTCCTTGAGTTTACTTTGCCTGTCTTGTGCAAGCTCACCTTAGAAGCAGAAGTTACACAGCTTACTTACTGTGTGTGCATAGCGGAACTCGCGATTGGGTCCCTGGTACATGATGTTCATCCGACGGCTCTGGTAATCGGTGCAGTTTGATGCACTTGAAATCTAGAGGTCACAGAAAGAAAATGTCAGTATTGAAGAGCAAAATGTTCTTTAGCAGCTGTAAAGGCCGATTCCTTCATGCAAAATCTTTTCTTTGTCCTTACAGTCAGTTCTCGGCTTTGACAACAACCCTACAAAACAAGTGCTCACTGAAAAAGCAATTTTTTTCTGTTCATAAGATTGTCCCTCTAGGTGTGTGAATATATGGTCTGACACCTGTCCTAAAGTAAGCCTATTTTATTGTGCTGTCTATTCCACTGCCAACATATTCACGAACAGCCTGCAAATAAAGAATACGGGTCTGAGGTTTGTGAACCTGCTTGTGCCTTCTTGCTCAAACTGAACATTTTCACTGCAGCATGTGTTAGAATTTCAGCTGGTGTGGAGAGGGTGATGGGAATACAAAAAGGATTACAGATTACAAAAAGAGTAGTCAAAAATTAAAAAAAATAAAAAAAAAACACCTAAAAAAGTTAAACGTTCTGCTCCAGTGCCCCCAGCTGGAGTTAATTAAGTATTACACCAGGAAAAAGAAATAGGTTTACATATTTAGTGCTCATGTACACAGGGCATTTGGAAAAAAAAAAAACTTCTGAACGATGGATACTGACTGCTGGAAAACATAGGTTAAGAAAACGTCCGTTTATGCACATTTGTGTTTAGAAGCGTTTTTAAAAGATAACCTCAGGAGAACTTCCAAAATGCCCAGAATGCACTGAAAATAGTGTAACGAGACCGGAACCCAGACCGTACTGAGTTTTTCCGTTAAGCTCCACTTCCCTGTCCGAACACCATCCTCGAAACACACCACCCGCTCTGACCATGCAGGAAAATAGAGACAGCACCCAGCTCTTCTTAAAACAGGAAGTTAACTCAGTTTATTTTACACAAACAACAACTTATATACACAGGGCGGGGAAACACAACCAGGAACAGGAAACACATCATCAGCCAGCCCCATCAGTGGGAAGGGCTGCAGGAAATACATCATCAGCCTGCCCCATCAGTGGAAAGGGCTACAGCACATGGCAAGGACAATACAGGAACACATGCATCCCATAATAGTTTGCTGGCCAGCAAGACACAGAACAATGGGATGAAGCACATGGCATAGAACAAACAACGGACAGCCACATGGCCGAGAACAAAGACAAAGGACAACACACCAATACACAAAATATTCACATGTACGCCCTGTACCCCTTAACAGGCACAGGGTGGGTTAAACATAATGAGGGGAACATGAGCTGACACAGAGGTCCCCCCATCCCCAAAAGTCACTCCCGTCACAAATAGTAAATAACTATTTCAGACATTTTGAGAGAAATAGAGAGAGCAGAAGTCTTTTCTGGTTGTATTCACTATGGATCCCATCATTATTATTATACAGTATTTATATAGCGCTAAAAAGTTTGCTCAGTGCTGTACATTATAGTGGGGGACAGAACATGAAACAATACAGTAACAAAACAAAACACGAGGGATTCAAGGGCCCTGCTCTTTCGAGCTTACAATCTAGGATGAGCATAATGCGGCACGTTCTACCATTTTTTCCTTCACACGAAACCTGGGACTGACTGCGCTGGTGTACCGGGTCCATTTGAATACATGGAAAACGATTTACATGCATTTCTGATAATGAAAAAAGGCTCTGGACAGCATCTGGATATGGAACAGTTAAAAAACGCTTCTAAATGCAAACACTTATATGAACGCGGTTAACCGCGTTTACAAGCATCTGGCGTTTGAAAGCCAGTAAAATCTACTCCTGATCGCAAATTTGGTGCGTTCAACAAACCGACTGTAAACTCAACTGCCTGTAAACGACATAGTGTACATGGACACATAGGAAAACATTAGGGAGTTCAGGGGCTGCTGAAAAAAACCACTGAACAGCTCCTGAATGTCAGTTTAGCAGCTGCAGTGTACATGAGCCCTTATTGTGACAGCGACTCCTTGGACATACACAGGGCCATGTTGTTTGGCAGTTAGCGTCCCAAGTTACCTCTCCATATATTTATTTCTTCCTGGCATCCACGCCTCTATGTCAAACTTCCTATAAGCAGGTAGCCCGAGCTCATAAGTCGGCATCTCCAAAACCCTGAAAGGCAAAATATATTAAATGATGGGTGATGGCTAGGCTGTGTATAGTTAGGAAACCAGGTTTTGGAAAAAAAAAACAAAACAAAAACATTAACTTGTTCTTTAACAATGACAGCCTGTATTTTTACTTGACATAGGGGTTCCTTTAAAGAAAGCCTTAAGGAAAAACCTTGCAGAATGAGAGTGAGGTAACACTAAACGAACACCCACACATACAGTACTTAAAAAAAGGATCAATAAGACAGAAAAACTGAGGAGATTCATTGAACACAATTTGTAAAGCCAACTCCAACCTTATAAAAGAATACACCTTTTTCTGTGGCTTACGAAAAAAAATATAAAAAAAAAAAACCCAAAAAAACTAAACAAAACACATTTTATGATTCTCCAAGACTGTTTTCCCGGAAGAAAATAAATATTTTTCTTGCTTGTGGTCAGATCTTCCCCTACTCAGAATGTTATTATAGCGGGGCTGGTCAGAACTATGAAACATAACAGGTTTCCATGGAAGCTTTCATTGCCTATCTAGCAGATAATGGTACAAGGACATACTTAAGAGTGGAAGTAAAGGCAAAACCTAACTAACACTAACCTACTCTCAGCCACATTCTAAGCCTAATCTATCTAGCCCTGTGAAGAAAAAAAAAATTGCTATACTTACCTGTTCTGAAGCCGCTCTGGTCCGGTCTGCAGCAGCACCCTGTGTGTGCAGCCAACAACGGCTGGGAAATGCCTGGGAAGTGCCGCCACCTATAGAGTTATTATTGGGCTTCCATTGTCAGCTTCCTCTCCTGAAGCCACCACTGACAGTTCAGTGTGAGACCAGACCAGAGTGGCTGCAGAACAGTATTGGGATCTTTTCTCTACGGGGCTAGGTAGATTAGGCTTAGAATGTGGCTGAGAGTAGGTTTGAGTTAATTAGGTTTTGCCTTTACTTCCATTTTAATTTGTAGCGTAGGTCAGTTCTGACTTAAGAGTTACAGCTTTTCCCACTCCAAGTATAATATTTAAGACCAACCCTATAAAGGAGATTTGGGTTTTGTGTTCTTGATGACAAGTTCAAATCACTCGCTAGTTTCTTTTAGCTTTTGGAGACTTCATGGTATGCCTCCAGTAGAATGCCTAGTCCCTAATGCCATGGATATTCAAAAGGCAAATAATGGTGCCACCCTCTCCTAATGGATCCTGAATAAACATCCAGCACTGAGAAAAATGGCACATTCGTATAGCTTTATGGGAGGGTGGCAGAGACACACACTACTGTGGGAAAATCTCACCAATGGGCTCTCTAAGCCATTACTGGTTAACTTATTAGATACAGAAGGGCCTATGTGCAGACTCTGCCACAGAAGGACCTATGTGCAGACTCTGCCACAGAAGGACCTATGTGCAGACTCTGCCACAGAAGGACCTATGTGCAGACTCTGCCACAGAAGGTACCTACCTATGTGCAGACTCTGCCACAGAAGGACCTATGTGCAGACTCTGCCACAGAAGGACCTATGTGCAGACTCTGCCACAGAAGGACCTATGTGCAGACTCTGCCACAGAAGGACCTATGTGCAGACTCTGCCACAGAAGGACCTATGTGCAGACTCTGCCACAGAAGGACCTATGTGCAGACTCTGCAGAAGGACTCAGACTCTGCCACAGAAGGACCTATGTGCAGACTCTGCCACAGAAGGACCTATGTGCAGACTCTGCCACAGAAGGACCTATGTGCAGACTCTGCCACAGAAGGACCTATGTGCAGACTCTGCCACAGAAGGACCTATGTGCAGACTCTGCCACAGAAGGACCTATGTGCAGACTCTGCCACAGAAGGACCTATGTGCAGACTCTGCCACAGAAGGACCTATGTGCAGACTCTGCCACAGAAGGCAGACCTATGTGCAGACTCTGCCACAGAAGGACCTATGTGCAGACTCTGCCACAGAAGGACCTATGTGCAGACTCTGCCACAGAAGGACCTATGTGCAGACTCTGCCACAGAAGGACCTATGTGCAGACTCTGCCACAGAAGGACCTATGTGCAGACTCTGCCACAGAAGGACCTATCATTTGAGAGGATATGATTTTTCATATTGAGAACAAGCAGTATATAGGTCCACTTTAACTGTACAGGAGTTTTCACTTTGATAGACATTAGAACTAGGCCACAGTAACATTGTCTCAACACATGCTGATGCAAAGCAGTTCAGCAACACAACATAAAGATGAATGCAATGCTCACTTAAAGTGTAAACCAAGCTCCAAAAATATCTCTTTCTGCAGCAGCAGGAATTCATCAAACAAATCCTGACTTTCGGTCCCGCTTTCTGCAGCTGTGACCCCAAACATCTCTACCTGAGGGGGATGGAGAACAAAACATAAAAGTCAGGAAGCAAAGCTGTAAATAATTCTTTGAAAATCTAATCTGTAGTGTAATGATGCCCATAGATGTAAAACTAGCTCCCCAATATTTACACTGTCTTCAGCTGAGCTTGATTTGAAAGGGTGGCAGATACTTTCTGATTAGGTGGTAGCCGCCATTTAGTCAGTGACTAAATTCACTTAGACTTTATTAGTAAGTAATAAAGGTGCAAATCATCTCAAGGTTTTCGTAGGATGATGCTTGAATGCTGTGCTACTTGAATTAATAAACACCCAACAAACCACAAGATGTATTTAGGGATTCCTTGTGTTTGTATGTATGTGACCAGAGACGTTAGGTCTCCTAATACAGTTCTTTTAAGGCGGTCTGCAAACAATCTAACAGGAGCAGTCATCCTCAGCTGTGGTGTTGGGATTTAGCAAAAAGAAACAGGTTAGCAAACATTGCCCATTTCCTGTTGTTTTCTTCCCGATAAGCTGTTGCTGAAGATGATTGCAAAAATGCCCCCCACTTCTCTCTACAGGCTACATACAAACTGTCAGCAGAGTTGAACATTCATGTTCAGGGACTCAACTGCATATTCATATGTCTGAGGTTTGTCTGGTCATAGCTACCCATCTTACTGTCCCCTCCAGTGTCTATGAACAGTTAAAAACCTGCACTGAGATTAATACAGGTCTTCCACTGATATCCTCCTATGAATGCAAGTTAACTAGCTGTCTCTGACTCAATGCTTCCTTTAATCCAGTACAAGCATGCTGATTATAAAATCGGAGTCAAGTCAAGTACGCATACCTGGTCTGCATCAGTGACTTAGAAACTACCCTGGCAACTTTGAATCAGAGAGAGGGCCAGACAACTAGCACACTTTCAGGAGAGGAGGTCAGGTTTCTTTTAAGAAAAGATAAGGAGACAGACCTTGGTAAAATGGTGAACTCGGTAGAGACCCCATGGTTCTCGGCCTGTTTCTGTCTCTGCTCTGTAGCATGTGCTGCAGCAGACAGTTCTGGGGGGGAAAAAAATAAAGAAAACCTATTACCATAATATAACTGAACAGGAAAAGTTAAGTAATAGAAAAGAATAAGCAATAACTCATACTAGTACCTCCCAAAATAAAAGGTGTTACAGGGCCCCTTTCATGAAGCAGCTAATTTACTGCCTAATGAAAGCAGTGAGGGCGAAGAGCTCAGTTGTAAGTAGTTATAAAAGAGGAGCAGAAGAGGCATAAAAAAAGGGATGACAGGCAGATCTGTAATATGTTCATATTACTAACATACACAACTCACCTCACTGGAAGATCTGCCAGTTGTACTGCATGATCCATAAAGTACCCTGTTGTGAATAGAAAGAGCAAGCAGCAGAATTACCAATAATTTTATCCTTTGATCAGATGTGTAGTGGAGCAATGTGTGCATAAGGTATAGTACAGCATACAGAGCACAGCTAGAGTTGTGCTCAAAAGTTTGCATACCCTGGCAGAAATCGTGACATTTTTGCATTGTTATTGAAAATATGACTGATCATGTCTTCTAATAAGGATAGCTATCGGGGTATCGCGATGAAGTCACGAGGTTACGTGACGTAACGCGTAGGCACGCAGAGACGCAGTTTCCAGTGTCCGAGTGTGACGCACTTCCGGTGCGGGACGCCATTTTCCAAAGTAACACATGTGTGCAGTTTACCCATGCAGGGAGAAGAAAAACGCTGTTCATCAATGTAAGTTACTTTCTTATAAATAAAAACTTTTGCTGAATTGGAACTATTACACTATGGAGGATCTCTTTTTTGAACTCACTATTATGTGAGTGAGAATCCACAGAGGATCGTTGTAGAGGACTCCATAAAGCGTAAAGGTGAAGGTGTGGAGGAGGCCAAAAAGGAGGATAGCCTGAGAGGTACCATCCAGGAGTGTTGAGGATCCAAGGTGATCCTAGAGGCTTGTGGGCCCCTAGGGGTCGCTGAAAGGAGGTGAGGAGGCACTGCAGCCAAAGTGGGAGAGTGTGTTTTACACGAGTGGCACTATGAAAATACACTGCATGTGTATATAAGCATCACCTGGACTTTATCGTTTTATATTGTTTGTGATTTATTATTTGGACATTTGATATTGGATTAGGCTATAGTGATTTGGCACGATCACAGGATAGATGTATATTTGAGGTGGCACTATCACAATATATTTAATGGGCAAATATTTAATAGCACTATTATGATGTACATTTGTGATTATTATTTATGAATTAAGCAACACGTGTGAAGAGCACATAGTGTGATTTGGGCATTGTGGGGTTTCTCACAAGGTCAATAGATTTTACTTTATTATTCACATTAAGATTATTCAGATTATATATGTTTTTAGCGATACACTAAGGTAATATTTATTTGAGCACTGTTTTTGGTATCAGTTAGAGTGTAAGCAGCTTTAATTAGGAAAAGGGGGGTGGTCCATAGAAGCGCAGGAGGACTTACAATATATTAGACACACAAGACCAATGTTAGGAGAGGGGTCAACAAGGCCTATAGTTTCAAGAATACCATCGCCACTGTGAAGCATGGTAGTGGCTCACTGATGTTTTGGAGGGTTTGTGAGCGCTAAAAGCACAGGGAAACTTGTGAAAATTGATGGCAAGATGAATGCAGCATGTTATCAGAAAATACTGGCAGACAACTTCCATTCTTCTGCATAAAAGCTGCGCAAGGGACACTCTTGGATTTTCCAGCATGAAAATGACCCTAAGCACAAGGCCGAGTTGACCCTCCAGTTATTACAGCAGGAAAAGGTGAACATTCTGGAGTGGCCATCAGAGGCTTCCCACCTTAATATTACCAAGTCACTCTGGGGATCTCTCAGATATGCAGTTCATGCAAGATGACAAAATACTTTGCATGACCTGGGAGGCATTTTGCCAAGACCAATGGGCAGCTATAACACCTGGAACAATTTGGGGCCACATGGACAACTATTATAAAAGTTATAGATGAATCAGAGTGACTTGCGAGCCACAGGTGTGATAATTACTAGAGGATCGCAAACATGAAACATAATTACAACTGTGTTGGAAATATCTACAAATATATGTTGCGCTCCTAAATACTTCTCAATAAATAATTAAATTATTACCATTAAATTAATTCAAATTATGATACAAATAACTAATAAAAGAGTATAAATACCAAAAAAATTTTAAATAGATAATTTCAACTAATCAATCTCCTCCAAATAAATATCAAAATAATTCCACATGAAATACTCCTCTAAAAAATATTTTACCAAGTGCTCATAAATCATCTATTAGTGACATGATGTACTTACTAATACCCTCAATTTCATTTATATTCATAATTCCCTCATTTAATATAATAAAAATAATAAACCAACTAATAACCCTCAACTAAAACGCATTTAAATTTTATTAGTTATTTGTATCATAATTTGAATTAATTTAATGGTAATAATTTAATTATTTATTGAGACGTATTTAGGAGCGCAACATATATTTGTAACGATTATAAAAGACTACATGCTGTCATTCATGCTAAAGGTGGCAATACACAGTATTAAGAATTAAGGGAAGGCAGACTTTTGACCAGACCAGCGGTCATTTTATTTATTTACTCGTTGGCATGTTCTGTTTTATGATTGTGCCATTCTGTTATCACCTACAGTTGAATATGAATCCCATAAGAAATAAAAAGAAAAGCGTTTTGCCTGCTCACTCATGTTTTCTTAAAAAATGTATGTGTGCGTACAACATATAGAACAGCATACAATTTAGAAAAGTGCCTGTATAAAGTAGAGCACAACAGAGTGGAGAAACTCTGCATAAGCTATAGTACAGCCTATAGAGTGGAGAGTGTATAAAGCGTATAGCACAGCATTCAGAATGGAGCACAGTGTGTATAGCATATATTACAGCTTACAAAGTGAGGCAGATACCATACAGGCACAGCACACAGAGTGGAAAAGCAATGGATATGTAAAATACAGCTCAGTATATAAAACGGTCTGTATCTCCTAGATTGTGTGCTTGAAAGAGCAGGGCCCTCAAACCCCTCGTGTATTGTATTGTACTGTTTTGTCTCATGTTCTGTCCCCCACGCTAATTTACAGCGCTGAGCAAACCCTTTGGCGCTATATAAACTCTGTATAATAATAATAATATCTTAAATGCCACTGATTAGGCGAACTAATCAAAGAAAAACGGTATGGAGAAAAAACAAAAAGCATATAGGTTTCCAATGCTGACCCCTATCTAGAAATACTACCTGCTTAGCTTTCTCTGACTTGCCGTGAAAACCCCAGGCCACTCCAGCTGGATGCACAGACACTCATATAGTTACAAACCATAAAATGGTGATATAATCAGGCACTTACATTTGTGGTCAAAGAAGGAAAAGAAAGGCAATAAAAAAGCATCAAAAGTGAAAAAGCAATGTTACCTGCAATGCCAACTTCAGAGGTGCCAGCCAGGTGCAGATCAGGGTGTGAGGATGGGTCCAGGGTGTAAACTTGGGAGCTGTGGGCACTGGGCTGCATACCACAGCCTTCCTGAAACACACGGCACAACAGAGATGTCAGAAACATGGCAGAGATCACAAAGAAGGGCACAGAACATGACAGGCAAACCAACCGTATAAAATAGGGAAAGAGTGCAACATTTATATGTTCGGAACTAAAAACCTTAATTCCCAACCTCTTTCTGAAACTGCTAGTTCTCTGGCTGTCATTATGATCCTCCCGCTTCTTGGGAAGTCAGAGACTTAGAACAAGTGCACACCAAGTTAAGTCAGAATGCATATTTCTCCTGGGCATTGACAGGCAATCTGTTTTTCCCAATAGGCAGCGCGGCACAATACAAACTTATCTCTGCTGTATGCCGAAAATAAGTACTGGACAGAAATCAGCCAACCTGACACATCATTTCTAAAAAGCAGAGTCAGCTGTAACAGGCACTAGCTCTCCATAAATGTTACAATCTGATTGTACAATTAACGTTAGATTTCCAAAAAGTATATAATATGAGGAGCTTTCTAAATTATCCGAACTATAATTAATTTGAATGCAATCAGTAAAAACTCTTGCGTCATAAAGCAAGATCTAAAGGAGGTAGATCCTAAACGAGGTAGATCCTAAAGAGACTGCAATCCAATCATAATGTGTAAACACTAGTAGAATTCTTAAAAATATTGTACAAAAATTCTCAGTACATTCGAAAATTGTTCAAGATTTAATTTGCTTTTAACATTAGATTTTGAAGTGCATAATCCTGATCAAACGTTGATTTGATACCACTAGTGATTAGAAAAATGAACATTTTTACAATGAAAAACATTGAACATAATTCTACTAGTGTATACCCAGCTTTAATCATTTACACGATTATCGGTAAAACAAAAAGCAACTTACAAACACAGCTCCTTTCAACATTTCAGGAACAGACATCGGGATAAAACCCTGCAGGAGATGAGAGAGGAGTGAATGGTTTCATTAGTACTAGGCATTCCTTTACATAGACCAGTGCTGGCTATACAATTTGCAGGTAATAAACAGATTTCAACATATTGTAAGTTCCCAGGAGCAGGGTCCTCCTAGTCCTTCTGTTTTGAATTTGCATTGTTGTCGTCTCCCTTTATATTGTAAAGCTCTGCGCAAACTGATGGAGCTATATAAATCCTGTATCATTATAATACCATTCAATTGCAGATGTGACAGAATAGATCAATGCAGTCCAATATCAACAGCTTCTACTGACACTGTGAAATAACCACAACCTTTGAGTTTCGGCTGGCTTGATATCTAGATATGAGAAGAAGGTTTGGAGTCTAAGGTCTCCCGAGGTGGTGGTGTTGAGGTGGTGGCTGCCGGGGTTTTTTTGCTCCGGTTGGCTGCTGTCTGTTGCCACTTGTGTGTTGTCTATGGTTGTTTTTTGCTGGCATTGGTGTGATGGGGCTGCATGTCCGACTATGCAGGGCACGCATGCGCTGTGTGTTGTAAATTGTTGTACTTCTCCCCACTTGTTGCCTGGGCTGAAGTGATGTTCGCACGCATGTGGGATTACCGTTGTGGGGGACGTTTGGTTCCACCCTATGGTTGGCTACACTTCCGCCCAATGGATATTCAGGCAGAAGTGATGTTCGTGCGCATGCGCAATGAACAATCACTGCTAGGAGGGGCGGTTCCACCCTATGGCTGGTTGCACTTCGGCTTTTGGCTGTTTGGGCGGAGTTGATGCTTGGGCGCATGGGCGATCACTGCTGGGAGGTGTGGTTTGTTTCCGCCCTATAGTCTATCTAGGCGCAACTGTGGTCCCACATTGATGACAGCATTTAAGCGCCCTGCCGTATGCAGTTATTGGCGCCATTGAGGAGAGACACATACAGCGGGTGTCTTGATGAGACATAGTGGCCTGAAAAGTACAACGAGATATGATATTTGATTATATTTGGTAGATGCATCAGCAATTAGGGATTACTAAGCAGGGATATACGTTATAGGAGCCACATTTAGAGGACTTGGGGCATTAACACATGCAACATACTGGAAGGAGTGCGCCTTCATTACACAACAATCTGTCCGGTATTGCATACACCTTTCCTGCAGAGGGAATTATGAGGTAACAATTTGGAAATGGGCTGTTGAATACTGTTATGATTTTAAATATGTGGATATTTCCATATTGATTTTCACTGTTGGATTTAGATTGCCCTCTGGAATGTACTCATGGAACGGTTGCATACGGATAATACTCTTATATAGAGGTTCACGCTGATTGTGTCTTTTGTCAGTGAGTGATAGAATATTAGCTATGTTGGGGATATAACACCTCCTTTGTCTTGTTCTATTCCTTTCCCCCCATTCTCCTTTTTGGTTCCTTCTCTTTAGTGGGATTGTTTCTTGTTATTCCTTCTGTAGAGTTTCATCTGATTGGAGACGAGGGGGAGGGGGTTCTGTATGTGGAAGCTCACTCAAGGCAAATTTGACCCTCTATGTGACCCTCTATGACAGCGGTTCTCAACCTGGGGGTCGCGACCCCTTTGGGGGTCGAACGACACTTTCCCAGGGGTCGCCTAAGACCATCGGAAAACACATATTTCCGATGGCCTTAGGAACCGAGACACCGCTCTTTGATCCGTCTGCAGGTGTGGGCGGGATGACATGCCGTCTCTGTCATCTGGACACACCCCCGGGATCAATCCTTCCTCGTCGGTGATTGGCCGCCGGAACTGTAGCTCAAGAGAGGCACACAGGCGGCCAATCACCGGCGAGGAGGTGGAGCTTGGAAAGGAGGAGCCGAGCGGCACCGCGAAGCACGAGCGAGTGAAGAGGAGGAAAGCGGCCGGAGAAGGAAGCCATCTGACTGGTAAGTGTTTGTACCATGGGAGAGGGAGGGAGCGAGCCCAGGCTGGAGCAGGGGTCAGCAAGGTAAGTATCATTGGTGTCAGTGGGAGGAATAGTGCCCAATCATTGGTGTCACTATTACCAATGATGGGGCACTATTCCTCCCCCCACTGACACCAACGATGGGGCACTATTCCTCCCACTGACACCAACGATGGGGCACTATTCCTCCCACTGACACCAACACTATTCCCCACTTGGTGTCACTGACACCAACGACACTATTCCTCCCACTGACACCAACGATGGGGCACTATTCCTCCCACTGACACCAACGATGGGGCACTATTCCTCCCACTGACACCAACGATGGGGCACTATTCCTCCCACTGACACCAACGATGGGGCACTATTCCTCCCACTGACACCAACGATGGGGCACTATTCCTCCCACTGACACCAACGATGGGGCACTATTCCTCCCACTGACACCAACGATGGGGCACTATACTTCCCTCTGATACCAATGATGGGGCACTATTCCCCCCACTGACACCAATGACGGGGCACTATTCCTCCCACTGACACCAATGTTGGGGCACTATTGCTCCCCCTGATGCCAACGATGGGGCACTATTCCTCCCACTGATACCAATGATGGGGCACTATTCCTCCCACTGACACCAATGATGGGGCACTATTCCTCCCACTGACACCAATAATGGGGCCGTATTCCCCCCCACTGACACCAATGATGGGGCACTATTCCTCCCACTGACACCAGTGATGGGGCACTATTCCTCCCACTGACACCAATGATGGGGCACTTTTCCTCCCACTGACACCAGTGATGGGACACTATTCCTCCCACTGACACCAGTGATGGGGCACTATTCCCCCCACTGACACCAATGATGGGGCACTATTCCCCCCACTGACACCAATGATGGGGCACTATTCCCCCCACTGACACCAATGATGGGGCACTATTCCCCCCACTGACACCAATGATGGGGCACTATTCCCCCCACTGACACCTATGATGGGGCACTATTCCTCCCATTGACACCAACGATGGGGCACTATTCCTCCCCCCACTGACACCAACGATGGGGCACTATTCCTCCCCACTGACACCAACGATGGGGCACTATTCCTCCCACTGACACCAACGATGGGGCACTATTCCTCCCACTGACACCAACGATGGGGCACTATTCCTCCCACTGACACCAACAATGGGGCACTATACTTCCCTCTGATACCAACGATGGGGCACTATTCCTCCCACTGACACCAATGTTGGGGCACTATTGCTCCCCCTGATGCTAGCGATGGGGCACTATTCCTCCCACTGACACCAATGATGGGGGCACTATTCCTCCCACTGATACCAATGATGGGGCACTATTCCTCCCACTGACACCAATGATGGGGCACTATTCCTCCCACTGACACCAATAATGGGGCCGTATTCCCCCCACTGACACCAATGATGGGGCACTATTCCTCCCACTGACACCAGTGATGGGGCACTATTCCTCCCACTGACACCAGTGATGGGGCACTATTCCTCCCACTGACACCAGTGATGGGGCACTATTCCTCCCACTGACACCAGTGATGGGGCACTATTCCTCCCACTGACACCAGTGATGGGACACTATTCCTCCCACTGACACCAGTGATGGGACACTATTCCTCCCACTGACACCAGTGATGGGGCACTATTCCTCCCACTGACACCAATGATGGGGCACTATTCCCCCCACTGACACCAATGATGGGGCACTATTCCCCCCACTGACACCAATGATGGGGCACTATTCCCCCCACTGACACCAATGATGGGGCACTATTCCCCCCCACTGACACCAATGATGGGGCACTATTCCCCCCCACTGACACCAATGATGGGGCACTATTCCCCCCACTGACACCTATGATGGGGCACTATTCCTCCCATTGACACCAACGATGGGGCACTATTCCTCCCCCCCTGACACCACTCCCCACTGACACCAATGATGGGGCACTATTCCTCCCACTGACACCAATGATGGGGCACTATTCCTACCACTGACACCAATGATGGGGCACTATTCCTACCACTGACACCAATGATGGGGGCACTATTCCTACCACTGATACCAATGATGGGGCACTATTCCTCCCATTGACATCAGTGATGGGGCACTATTCCTCCCACTGATACCAATGATGAGGCACTATTCCTCCCACTGCAAAATTACAGTTATGAAGTAGCAACGAAAATAATTTTATGGTTGGGGGTCACCACAACATGAGGAACTGTATTAAGGGGTCGCGGCATTAGAAAGGTTGAGAACCACTGCTCTATGACATTATATTTTGTATTAGTAATGGTTGTTATGTATACACATCTTCCAGCTATATCATTTGATCTCCTTGCCTCCAGTTTGGGGTACTGAAGAAGCCAACAAACACAGAAACATGTCAACCTCTGGAGGATAATTATGTCATGGAACATGATATTGTGATCTCGCGGGCACATTAGCCAAGTATTGATTTTATACTGTGTGGAAGATGTATTTCAATAAATATGTTTAATGTTGAATGAGGTTGTCCGCTTTCTGTACCTGTAAAGTCCCAGCAGGTTTTGCTTTTTCATACTGGAATGAGAAGACAGTACTAGTTCTTTTTGTTAAATTAGAACATTGTGTCTGTAAGAACTGACTGATAGATCTTGGGGGATACAGTGATCTCTCTGATTTTCTTCCTTGAAAGTTGTCTGGCAGTGGCTCTACTTACCGTCAAAATAAACAAACGCTTTGTCAAACCCAGTATGCCTGTAAAACATGTTTATTGACCTGCAGGGAAAGGGACAAACAGCCATTCTGAAATCAGATCTCTCTCTCCCAGCCCTTTTGTAGCCTCTGTAGATGTGCTTAGGATGTCTTTTTTATGGACTCCTGTATACAGCTTTGATTTGGAGCCTATGATGGCAGATGGGTGAAGTATATCTGTGAAAAAACTTGCTTGAACTTATTTGAAGATCTATATATGCATGCAGTGATCATTGTACACTATGATATGAAGTTTGAACTTTTGAATTTGGATCTTCACATGGATGTAGACATAGATGGTCCTTAGATGGATATATGGCTGTGCAGTCGTGCCACATCAAAAAAAAAAAAAAAAAAAAAAAGAGCACATGAAACAATCCTCATAATACTGAAAATGTTCCCCATTGAAAGAAACGTATGTGCCCTGTAATGCATAGACATATCTCAGGTTTCTATAAGTATTCAATATGATTGAAAAGGTTTTAGGCACAACTTTGAAGCTTTTCTTTGTCTCGAATGTAAATGAGACTCACAAACAATCACTGCAAAATTAAATGCTATATATTATACATTATATATCGCTGCAAGAGAATACTACATCCAGAAAACGCCGGTATCGTTCGCTGTATAAAGTCACATTAAAAATGCAAGTTTTTCCACATTTAGCATTTTTGCATTAGCATTTAGCTGTGTTTTTATACACACAAAATAAATAAAATGTTTGCTAAAAAAAAAACCCAAAAAATTCCGGTTTGCCGCGGTTTACCTCGTTTTTTCCGTTTCCGTGTTAGAGGTTTTTAGAGCTAAAAAAACTCCTCTAGAAACCCACTACTTCTGGCTTTTTTTTTCCCCAGCCAAAAAAACACTGGATAAAACCTATGTGTGCATGGACACAGGATAACATGCTAGGGAGTTTATTTGCTGTAGAAAAAAAATGCCAAAAGCCAAAAACAGCCGCTGTAAAAACATCCAGTGTGCATGAGGACTTATCAGGAATAGTCTGAGATACGAGTGATAAAGTGAGAGGACCATGCAAATGTTTTACTTATTTGTTTGTAATATTTTTCACCAGGGGAACCCTAGTATGCTACTGGTGTAAACCTGTAACTAGTAAAAGTTGTCTATTTTTGTAGGGGAGTTTATTCAGCAATTTGTTTGGAAACACCCAAAGCTTTTTTTCTTTTCTTCAAATTCCCCTAACACAGCGGTTCTCAACCTGGGGGTCGCGACCCCTTTGGGGGTCGAACGACACTTTCCCAGGGGTCGCCTAAGACCATCGGAAAACACATATTTCCGATGGCCTTAGGAACCGAGACACCGCTCTTTGATCCGTCTGCAGGTGTGGGCGGGATGACATGCCGTCTCTGTCATCTGGACACACCCCCGGGATCAATCCTTCCTCGTCGGTGATTGGCCGCCGGAACTGTAGCTCAAGAGAGGCACACAGGCGGCCAATCACCGGCGAGGAGGTGGAGCTTGGAAAGGAGGAGCCGAGCGGCACCGCGAAGCACGAGCGAGTGAAGAGGAGGAAAGCGGCCGGAGAAGGAAGCCATCTGACTGGTAAGTGTTTGTACCATGGGAGAGGGAGGGAGCGAGCCCAGGCTGGAGCAGGGGTCAGCAAGGTAAGTATCATTGGTGTCAGTGGGAGGAATAGTGCCCAATCATTGGTGTCACTATTACCAATGATGGGGCACTATTCCTCCCCCCACTGACACCAACGATGGGGCACTATTCCTCCCACTGACACCAACGATGGGGCACTATTCCTCCCACCAACGATGGGGCACTATTCCTCCCACTGACACCAACGATGGGGCACTATTCCTCCCACTGACACCAACGATGGGGCACTATTCCTCCCACTGACACCAACGATGGGGCACTATTCCTCCCACTGACACCAACGATGGGGCACTATTCCTCCCACTGACACCAACGATGGGGGCACTATTCCTCCCACTGACACCAATGATGGGGCACTATTCCTCCCCACACTGACACCAATGATGGGGCACTATTCCTCCCACTGACACCAATGATGGGGCACTATTCCTCCCCCTGACACCAATGATGGGGCACTATTCCCCCCACTGACACCAATGATGGGGCACTATTCCCCCACTGACACCAATGATGGGGCACTATTCCCCCCACCAATAATGGGGCACACCCCCCACTGACACCTATGATGGGGCACTATTCCTCCCACTGACACCAACGATGGGGCACTATTCCCCCCCCACTGACACCAACGATGGGGCACTATTCCCCCCACTGACACCAATGATGGGGCACTATTCCCCCACTGACACCTATGATGGGGCACTATTCCTCCCATTGACACCAACGATGGGGCACTATTCCTCCCCCACTGACACCAACGATGGGGCACTATTCCTCCCACTGACACCAACGATGGGGCACTATTCCTCCCACTGACACCAACGATGGGGCACTATTCCTCCCACTGACACCAACGATGGGGCACTATTCCTCCCACTGGGGGCACTATTGCTCCCTCTGATGCTAGCGATGGGGCACTATTCCTCCCACTGACACCAATGATGGGGGCACTATTCCTCCCACTGATACCAATGATGGGGCACTATTCCTCCCACTGACACCAATGATGGGGCACTATTCCTCCCACTGACACCAATAATGGGGCCGTATTCCCCCCACTGACACCAATGATGGGGCACTATTCCTCCCACTGACACCAGTGATGGGGCACTATTCCTCCCACTGACACCAGTGATGGGGCACTATTCCTCCCACTGACACCAGTGATGGGACACTATTCCTCCCACTGACACCAGTGATGGGACACTATTCCTCCCACTGACACCAGTGATGGGGCACTATTCCTCCCACTGACACCAATGATGGGGCACTATTCCCCCCACTGACACCAATGATGGGGCACTATTCCCCCCACTGACACCAATGATGGGGCACTATTCCCCCCACTGACACCAATGATGGGGCACTATTCCCCCCACTGACACCAATGATGGGGCACTATTCCCCCCACTGACACCAATGATGGGGCACTATTCCCCCCACTGACACCAATGATGGGGCACTATTCCCCCCACTGACACCTATGATGGGGCACTATTCCTCCCATTGACACCAACGATGGGGCACTATTCCTCCCCCCACTGACACCAACGATGGGGCACTATTCCTCCCACTGACACCAATGATGGGGCACTATTCCTCCCACTGACACCAATGATGGGGCACTATTCCTACCACTGACACCAATGATGGGGCACTATTCCTACCACTGACACCAATGATGGGGGCACTATTCCTACCACTGATACCAATGATGGGGCACTATTCCTCCCATTGACATCAGTGATGGGGCACTATTCCTCCCACTGATACCAATGATGAGGCACTATTCCTCCCACTGCAAAATTACAGTTATGAAGTAGCAACGAAAATAATTTTATGGTTGGGGGTCACCACAACATGAGGAACTGTATTAAGGGGTCGCGGCATTAGAAAGGTTGAGAACCACTGCCCTAACAGATTTCTAAATTGAAGACAGTATGTTCCTTTTTTATTTGATTTAATTCTTTATATGAATTATTAGCAAGGGCAGTCTATGAGGGCCACAATACCTCCCCCTATGTGTATATTTTAACAAGCACTGGTTCTGTAACATCTCTTTAGCTGGTCATAGAGGTTTTTTTTTTTTTTTCCCCTTTTTAAGCCAACAGGCTGATCGAAAGAAAAACAGATTCCTCCATCCACACAACAAGGTAGATGGATTCCCCCCGCCAGAATATTGTATACTGATAGTGGGACCCACCTCTGTCAGAACATGATCAGTAGCTGCAGCTGCTGATCAACAAACATTTTCCAACTTGTCAATTTAACAAAAATTGATCTAACTATACACTGCTGTTGAACTTTGTCAACGCTGAAAGAGCTGCTGTTAGTAATTCACCGTTACAAATGGGGACCTCAGCAGTCAAACATTCAGCAGGTCTCAGCAGCTACACACAATGGCTTACTTGTCCGTTGAAGAAAGCCTCCAGGAAACAGGTCCATCCTCAATACTTAAATGGTTAAAACACAAGTATACATGCATGAGATTGTTTTTCGGCTTCCTGCAACCCCCTACACAGCAAGACTCACTGAGAAATGGAGAAACCAAAAAGGTTCTGCTACAGCACATAGTGCTGTCAATCTATGGAAACATGCTTTCTGGAGGGAAGAGCACAGCATGATCTCATTATACCAGTGCTTCTTTATTGCCCCAGTCATTGAGATGGGTCACTGACCAAGTAGCATTGCTTAATTTTACTTGAGAAGAGTCAGGTCAGTGACCTAGCTACTCTGCCTAGCATGGATGCCTAAAATCACCAACCTGGCTGATCATAATTACTAATCTTTGATAGGTAAACCTTGCATTTGTAACAGTTTGGCTGCCTGCCCCTTTGCACCAAATTTGCACCCCCCAAAGAAAAAAAAAAAAAAAAAAAAAAAAAAAAAAAAAAAAAACCACAACATGATAAAAAGGATAGGTTTTGCTAAAAAATAAAAAAATGCCCTTGTTTTTTGCAGGTGAAAACATATGCATTTATTATTTTTTCTTGCAGGAGGCTGTAAACCATTGCACCAGTGATCAGCAGATTGCTGGTGCCATGCAGGTCTCCTGCAGACCTATCAGTATATCTGCTTATCCGTACGGGATGTACGGGTAAGCAGATATACTGACAGGAAGAATCAATGAACTACCACGGCACTCCACAGCACTGTGGTAGTTTTATTCAGAACTACAAGCCAACAGCCACTAAGGCTGTTGAGACTTGTAGTTTCTCATTCACAGAGCACTGAAAATGAGTTGTGTGGCCTGAGGTGTGGACAGCTAGCAGGAGGAGAAGATCCCCTGCTAGTAGTCAAAGCAGGGGAATGGGGGCCAGTCTATTCATAACATGTTACACCCTGAACAAGGATGTAACAGGTTATGAAAAGTTAAACAAACATCTCAAACCTCAGATTCACAAATTAAATGCCTTATTCTATACAGCATTAAAAAAAAAATGAAATATATATATAAATATATATATATATATATATATTATTTATTCTTTGCAAAATACAGAACAAAATGAGGCCAACATATATAAATAGAGGAATGCAAATAACCGTTTGTGAAGTAATTATGAAGACAAAGAAAAAAGAATCACTGGTGAGTAACTGATGTGTAGAGGAACAATAATGGATTCTGCTTACCTTTTTCACAAGTTTATTGATTGTAAAGTTGACAAGAGCATGCTCTAACAACGTGCCAGCTCCTCTGAGATAATAGCATCGGTGACCCGAAATATGTGAAAGGCGGCTGTCAAAATTAAACAAAATATTCTCCTGTAAAAAGGTAAAAGTATAACTCTGTGAGCAGCTTTTTGTATCATTATTGTTACATTTTTCATGCTGCTTTTCCCATTTTCTTTTTCCCCCCAAAATAGAGATGTGTAGATGACCCAATAGTGGGAGCACAGTATTCCAGTCTGCCTCATTTATTCCCGCTGCTTAACCAGTATGGCTCCAGAGCAATTTGTTTTTTATTTTTCGCATGTTTTTTACATGTAAAAACCTAATTTTTGGCAAGAAAATTACCTAAACCCCCATAACATTATATATTTTCTGAAAGCAGAGGCCCTGTAAAATAAAAAGGTGAGAGTTGCAAATTTTAATGTTACATGATATTTTCGCAGCAGTTTATTAAAAAGCAAATTTTCAGGAAAAAATAAAACATGAATTCTAGTGCAATGTATAACATACAATATAATACCCATTTTTGGTTAAAATATAAAAGATGAGGTTGCATTGCATAAACAGATACCAAACATTCCACGTCCATGTCTGCGTTATCGGCAAAAACTGGTGTCCAAAAATCACCATAGGTGATGCTTTAAAAGCCTTTACAGCTCATTAGTTTAGAGTTAACTAGGAGCTCTTGTGCTAGAATTATTGTTCTCACTATGATATTTGTGGAAATATGTCACAAGTGTGGTGTAACTGCGGTTTACATATGCGTGCACACCCCGGGCTTGCGTTTATGTGGGGGGGGCGGAGCAGCGGGGGGGGGGGGGGGGGGGGGGGGGCTGAGGGATGGGAACGGCAATTTTTTATTTTTATACTTTAATATATTTTCTTAGAATTTTTTTTTTTAAACTTTTTTTTTTTTTTTACGTGATTGCTATCACAAGGGGTTACTGGCAAAGGGCTGAACTGGTTAAGGTCGGCCATAGACGAGTCTAAAACCAAATGTTCTGTCGATTGAAAAACAACAATGGCGCAAAGGACTGTACCATCATTTATTTAGTTTTTCCTAAATAAAATCCAGCATGTTGGATCAAGCACTTTCGATTGCGAAACAAAGATTGCAAATGTTCGTTGGGCTTTCGACACGTCTATGGCGATAATGGAGATAGGATATCAGCCACATAGGGAGTGCAACGTTTACAGTCAGCATTGTGATAGAGCAGTAAAGCAAAACATGGCTCCCATGTTCATAGAGTATATAATTACAAAATATTCACAGAGTGCACAGAATCTACAGTGGGGATCGAAAGTTTGGGCACCCCAGCTAAAAATTTGTATTAATGTGCATAAAGAAGCCAAGGAAAGATGGAAAAATCTCCAAAAGGCATCAAATTACAGATCAGACATTCTTATAATATGTCAACAAAAGTTAGATTTTATTTCCATCATTTACACTTTCAAAATAACAGAAAACAAAAAAATGGCGTCTGCAAAAGTTTGAATTTATTAAAGAATTTATAGCATTTTATACAAATTTTTAGCTGGGGTGCCCAAACGTTCGATCCCCACTGTATTTTTCTTTCGATGTGGGAAAGGAGCATTCCATACACGTTTCCTGCACCACACATGAATACATTGCCCTTGCGAGACACAAGCGGGTGCTAAAGAATTGTTAATGGTACCCCAAACGCATCTGACAAACTCAGTGAGTTTGCTGCCACCAAACTGCATGACACCGCAGAGCAATCTGAAAAAGTGCCTTTTGCAGCCCATGTAAGTGAACGAGCTGTCAAAACCGATCTGCACAGGAACGAGCTCATTCCAGTGTGATTTGGCCCTCATGCAAACTGATGGTATTTACATCAAGCTTTTACACACATCTTAAAAATCGTTTGAAAGAATAAACAAGCACACATTCTCACAGAGGAGAGGATACTGTCATTAACCTGTTTTCAACTTAAACATCTTACGATTTTTATGTTCATGGACATCTTTAGGACAGTGCAGACGCCACAGGCAGGTCAAAGTAAGAGGTAACTGCTGTGGTTGTAATTAATATGCCTAATTCTGACCCTACTTATGCCCTACAGATCTGATTTAAAAGAAGTTACCGTGTTTTTTCGCTCCATAAGACGCACTTTTTTCCCCCCCAAAAAGGGGGGAAAATGTCAGTGCGTCTTATGGAGCGAATATAAAGCGGCCGGTCCGGTATTTCTGCCGCCACCATGTCAGAATACCGGGCCGGCCGCTCATCTGTTGTCTCCTGCAGGGCCTTACCTGTTCCTCGCTCCAGCGCTGCACAGTCTTCCCGCGCTGGCTTCTGTGACAGCCGGGTGCCCACTGCGCATGTGCTGCGTATTGTGAATGATCTGGTGGCTTCTGGGACACATGAAAGGTCCCCGAAGGCGCCGGGCCATTCACAAAGCGCAGCGCTTCTCGCACATGCGCAGTGGGCACCCGGCTGTCACAGAAGCCGGCCCGGGAAGAAGAGGGAAGGACAACTCCGCGGAAGTGGGAGCGGGTACCTGTCAAATTCAGGTACCCACTCCCCCTCCCTCCCCAAAGGTCAGCAATCTCTGGTCATTCCCTGCACTCCCCGCAGTCTCTGGTCATTCCTTGCACTGTCTGCAGTCTCTGGTCATTCCCTGCACTGTCTGCAGTCTCTGGTCATTCCCTGCACTGTCTGCAGTCTCTGGTCATTCCCTGCACTGTCTGCAGTCTCTGGTCATTCCTTGCACTGTCCGCAGTCTCTGGTCATTCCCTGCACTGTCTGCAGTCTCTGGTCATTCCCTTCACTGTCTGCAGTCTCTGGTCATTCCCTGCACTCCCCGCAGTCTCTGGTCATTCCCTGCACTCCCCGCAGTCTCTGGTCATTCCCTGCACTGTCTGCAGTCTCTGGTCATTCCCTGCACTGTCTGCAGTCTCTGGTCATTCCCTGCACTGTCTGCAGTCTCTGGTCATTCCCTGCACTGTCTGCAGTCTCTGGTCATCCCCTTCACTGTCTGCAGTCTCTGGTCATTCCCACTGTGCACTGTCATCCCCTGCAGTCTCTGGTCATTCCCTGCTGCACTCTGGTCATTCCCTGCACTGTCTGCAGTCTCTGGTCATTCCCTGCACTGTCTGCAGTCTCTGGTCATCTCCTGCACTGTGTCCGCAGTCTATGATCATCTCCTGCACTGTGTCCGCAGTCTATGGTCATCTCCTGCACTGTGTCCGCAGTCTCTGGTCATCTCCTGCACTGTGTCCGCAGTCTCTGGTCATCTCCTGCACTGTGTCCGCAGTCTCTGGTCATCTCCTGTACTGTCCGCAGTCTCTGGTCATCTCCTGTACTGTGTCCGCAGTCTCTGGTCATCCCCTGTACTGTGTCTGCAGTCCATTGGTTCAGAATATTTTTTTTTTCTTGTTTTTCACCTCTAAAACCTAGGTGCGTCTTATGGTCAGGTGCGTCTTATGGAGCAAAAAATACGGTATATAATAAATAGCTTCAAAATATTGGCTCAGCAGCACAAGGAAACTTCAATATAATTTTGTAAAGCACTGCACAAACTGTTGGCGTTATATAAATCATGTATAATAATATGTAATTTCAGCACAATCATTATTGCACCACAGTCAGTAGAGATCAATTACTTTGAGCTGTAATAATTGGGCTGCTAGCACAGGTATAATGATCAGGTGGAAAAGACGGCAGGGGTAAAGCGACAAGGAAATTGCTGCGTGTACCTGTCACCACAGCTGTACTTTACAATACATGTCTGTCAAGACGGCTAATAATAGTAAGAATTATTATTTATATACCTACAATTTACCCCCTCACAGAATTTACAATCTAAGCTCCCTCTCTTACATTCATACATATACTAGGGCCAGTTTAGACAGGAGCCAATTAACCAACCAGCAAGTCTTTGGAGTGTGGGAGGAAACCGGGAGTACCCAGAGGAAACCCACGCAGGCACAAGGAAAACATGCAAAACGCCATACAGATAGTGACCTGGTGAAAATTCCGACCCAGGACATCAGTGCTGCAAGGCAAATTTACTAATCTGAAGTAAAAAGCATACATCAGTTGACAAACACCACAATACTCAATGTTTTCCTGGCAACTTTGCCAACCAGCACAGCTAGAACACGTCACAGTTATCCTTCAGAAATCCCTAAACAACAAATTAAACTGTAAATATTTATAAAGAGGCTATCAAAAACGAATGACAAATCTATAGCATTATAGCTGTATAATAATTCCATGCAATACCACAATATTTGGAAACTTTAAAGAGTGCCTGTGCGATTTGCCTAGACATGAAAATGGGGACTGCTGCATGCTAAAGAGTTTTCTTCCTATATCTTTAATGTGGCCATAGATGAATCAAAATCCAGGCAGTTCAGCAGGGACACACCGAGTTTCGATTCATGTGTGGCCACTGCAGCGGACATTGCAGTTGTGGCTGCAGTGCTGATCTGTGTATTCTGACAGCGGAGGAGACACCCTGCTGTCAGAACACAATAGCACAGCACGAGGATTACCACATCCACCTCAAATGCGTGAATTAAGGAATCAGTTTAGTTTTTCCTTTCAGCCCCTTGGCTGAACAAAAACCATTGAACCATGTATAACCACCTTTATGGTCACAACATAAACCTTCACCCACGCTTCTCCCTCCCTTCTGCTTCTCCACCTGTGACTCATTATCTCCTCATTTATCTTCTATATTCTGCTCAGTATTACTACTACACTACATAATCTTCTGTACAGAGACAAACAAATGGGCTTATGCCACACAGACGCCTAGAAGGGTACAACTGAGTTCACGGACTGCAGTTTATTATGTTCTGACAGATGCATCCCACTCTTTTTCCGAGAAATTATGAGGCAAACTAAATTAGTAGAAGACTTTAGTGTGGAAATTGCCTGAGGCCACTATTACCTAATGAGATATTTGCTACATCCAGATGCCTCCTATACAATCCAGACAGCGAGTAATTGTACACTCTGTGCCATACAGTCCATTAAAGAAAATCTGTCACTTTGCCTTTTCAGGACAGTGACAGGTTCTCTTAAGGAAGAATCTCCCCCACCAAGCACTGGTTATTAATCTTGTGTAAGCTCCAACACTTTAACTAGGAGCTTATACAAGGTTTAGACCCATAGATTTAACAAATGAATAGAGCGACAGGCACTGAAGCAAAAGCGAAAATCAGTGGTTGGGATCTTGTTTTTTTTTGTTTGTTTTTTTTAAGAGACTGGACAAAAAGATAGATAGATTCCCTATAAAGCTGAAACCCAGGCAAGGAGCTCAATCGATGCAGTTGAAATCCATATACAGTGGGGCAAAAAAGTATTTAGTCAGCCACCAATTGTGCAAGTTCTCCCACTTAAAAAGATGAGAGAGGCCTGTAATTGGCATCATAGGTAGACCTCAACTATGAGAGACAAAATGAGAAAAAAAAATCCAGACAATCACATTGGCTGATTTGGAAAGAATTCATTTGCAAATTATGGTGGAAAATAAGTATTTGGTCACCTACAAACAAGCAAGATTTCTGGCTCTCACAGACCTGTACCTTCTTTAAGAGGCTCCTCTGTCCTGCACTCATTACCTGTATCAATGGCACCTGTTTGAACTTGTTATCAGTATAAAAGACACCTGTCCACAACCTCAAACGGTCACACTCCAAACTCCACTATGGTGAAGACCAAAGAGCTGTCGAAGGACACCAGAAACAAAATTGTAGACCTGCACCAGGCTGGGAAGACTGAATCTGCAATAGGCAAGCAGCTTGGTGTGAACAAATCAACTGTAGGAGCAATAATTAGAAAATGGAAGACATACAAGACCACTGAATCTCCCTCGATCTGGGGCTCCACGCAAGATCTCACCCCGTGGGGTCAAAATGATCACAAGAATGGTGAGCAAAAATCCCAGGACCACACGGGGGACCTAGTGAATGACCTGCAGAGAGCTGGGACCAACATAACAAAGGCTACCATCAGTAACACACTACGCTGCCAGGGACTCAGATCCTGCAGTGCCAGACATGTCCCCCTGCTTAAGCCAGTACATGTCTGGGCCCGTCTGAAGTTTGCTAGAGAACATTTGGATGATCCAGAAGAGGATTGGGAGAATGTCATATGGTCAGATGAAACCAAAATAGAACTGTTTGGTAGAAGCACAACTCGTCGTGTTTGGAGGAGAGAGAATGCTGAGTTGCATCCAAAGAACACCATACCTACTGTGAAGCATCGGGGTGGCAACATCATGCTTTGGGGCTGTTTCTCCGCAAAAGGGACCAGGACGACTGATCCATGTACAGGACAGAATGAATGGGGCCATGTATCGTGAGATTTTGAATGCAAACCTCCTTCCATCAGCAAGGGCATTGAAGATGAAACGTGGCTGGGTCTTCCAACATGACAATGATCCCAAACATACCGCCCGGTCAACGAAGTAGTGGCTTCGTAAGAAGCATTTTAAGGTCCTGGAGTGGCCTAGTCAGTCTCCAGATCTCAACCCCATAGAAAACCTTTGAAGGAGTTGAAAGTCCATGTTGCCCAGCGACAGCCCCAAAACATCACTGCTCTGGAGGAGATCTGCATGGAGGAATGGGCCAACATACGAGCAACAGTGTGTGCCAACCTTGTGAAGACTTACAGGAAACGTTTGTGACCTCTGTCATTGCCAACAAAGGATATATAACAAAGTATTGAGATGAACTTTTGATATTGACCAAAATACTTATTTTCCACCATAATTTGCAAATAAATTCTTTCCAAATCAGCCAATGTGATTGTCTGGATTTTTTTTCTCATTTTGTCTCTCATAGTTGAGGTCTACCTATGATGCTAATTACAGGCCTCTCTTATCTTTTTAAGTGGGAGAACTTGCACAATTGGTGGCTGACTAAATACTTTTTTGCCCCACTGTATACAGTTTAACTTTTTTTCATGTTTTGATGCAGTCTTTTTCACAATCCAGAAGGCAGCACAGGCATGATCATGGATCTTCCCTGCAGCAGCGGCAAAGTTTGGTCAGACACTGACTGAATTTCAGGATTTAGCATTCATAAAAAAAAAAAAAAAAAAAGGTTTTATATATTTACTGTTAGCTCAGTTCTTGGATCAATGTCAGCTTTTCTACCTCTGTCTGATGATATCCAGATTGTCTCCTATCTGCAGGTGGCCTCGAACATTAAAATCAAACTCTAAAAAAACATGGATATGACAGAACATAAGAATATTGACACAGGACAACAATATTCATTACCACTCATATTACCTGTAATAAATAAAAATAAATATTATAGCATCGCTCACATTTACTCAGATATTTATATCAAATTCCCTTATATAACAATGTTAGCATGTTCCACCCCTCACTGCCCCTGCACCCCTAAGATATAAGGGATATGATGTCTGTAGATTTTACCCAAAGTGCCCCTACTGGTACAACCTTGTACTGCAAGCTGGCAATGCCAAAATAATATATCTGCTATGAACACTTGTAATCAGCATGAACAGGTTTAATTCCTTAAAAGCGGAGCTTTCCCCACAACAACTGGATAAGAAAAATGTTCTTTAGCAAGAAACATACATTTCACTTTAATAATTATGCTACCAAAAGTTAGTGTGTGCTGTAAATTGCCTCCAGCATTGTTCCTGTTTCTTCTTCCTGGAGGCTGCAATTTTGCTGAACCACGAGAGCCCCTGAGCGGCAGTAAATTTTTAGGCCTCTACATTTTCGGCACAATGCCGAAAAAACAGAGGGCACCTGAGCATGTGCAAAGTAGGGTGAGACACCTATACCTGCAAAAGAGGCAAGCCTGAAGTCATCTAGCTGGACTTAATTTTCTGACTAACGTTCCTCTTTAAAGGGTATCTAAATGCAAAAAAATCCTATATAGCAGCTTATCAGTCCCTATACGAGGCTCCTGATTAGTTTTTTTCTGCAGGTTTTCTGCTTTTTATTCATGTGAATAATACACTTCCTGTCTCTGTGTGGCCATGCTCACTCCTCCACTGTGTCTATGGAGGAAGCCATGGATGCCACCCAGGCCAAACTGCTGTATTTGTTCATCTCCATTTCATTACAGCTGAGGGATTAGTTTACAGAAAGAATATGGTTTGTACTTTTGGCTCAGCTCACAGGAAGCGAGAGTAACACTGCTAAGGCTCCATGCACACTGGCGTTTTGTTAAGCTCCTAGATGCTATTATCAGCATATTTGTTCTGCTCCTAGAAGCTAAATAGTGTTATCCTATGTGTTTATGCACACTATTTTAGGCTGTTAGCATTTTTTGAGCTCCAGTGTCTAGGAGCAGAAAAAAAACTTTTTTTGTAGAGGTTTTTAAAGCGTTTTTGCATCAGAAAAAAAACCCGCTAACAGCTCCTAAAACATTCCTAACCGCTTTTTTCTAGCTTTTTTTCTTCCTCTACATGTACTGTGAAAACACTAACATGAACGCTCCTAAATGCCACTAAAAACGCTAATAAAAAAAAGATATTACTAGCATTTTTTTGTATCTAGTGTTTTTCACAGTGTTTTTTGAACTTAAATAAATAAAAAAAAAAAAAACCCTAGTGTGCATGGAGCCTAATTCTATTGGTTTGCTCAAAAGGTATTGTTTGGTGGTCTTGCATATATGTTGAAGTTCAAAAGGCAGTGGTTTTTTTCCTTCCACATAAACACTGCACTAACAGTTAAATGTATTTACCCCCCTTCTTCCCCACATCAAAAATCACACTGCACCTTCCACAACAGATAAGAACTTACCAGGCTTCACACCAAGTACTTCTAGTTCTCGAGCATTGCTCTCATCTCCCACCGGCTGTAATGGGAATACGAAATAAGCTACATTAGACACAGTGATGACTGTAAAATACTGGAAATTAAGACTATCACCATGGCTGCCCTTATTTGATTGTGAGAGTTCATGATCTCCAGCTATCCTCTCCTTTACCATCTGAAGGCTACTAGTGGATTGATAGAAGCTCATGAAGGATACAGGGTAAGATACTGCAGATCTGCATATCGATGGACCAAAGATGCAACATTCTACATTTTTGGTCTGTCAATGTGTCACTCTGCATTGTGATCCAGCACATCCAGCAGAAACCTCTGTTCATCTACATAAGTAGACAGAGGCCTATAGACATCTGCTGATGGCTGTCAGGAGTTGGTGAAGGAGCACTGCAATAAGGAAGAGAGATCTTCATATAGAAGTCATGGCACCCTAAAGCATCCAAACGTACATAAATTTTAGATATGGTTATGCATTAGTGAATTTAATCATCTTCCTGTTAGCATGTGTTTTAAACTCATTGACATGGACCATAGGAAAAAAAAATTTAAAGTAACGGAATAAATTATACATAAATTGGGGAGCTCAGGAGGTGTGACCAATGTCAACGTTTTATTATTTAAAGTCTTGTATTAGATAAGGAATGACTAAAGCCACCATTAGTTTTATTTGAACTGTATGTGCTGCACTGGGGAGATTTTTCTTCATATCTTTTCCACAATAGGAAATGAGAGGAAATCTCTCAAAAGTGCAGGAACTCCTCTCTTAAACAACTGTCACATGACAGGTATCTCCACTGTAAGATCTGCACTTTAGTTATAACATTTTGGATCACCCATTATGTCGATGACAACAGTAAGTTGGACAAAAAACTGTCTTCACTAAAAGTGACCATTTTATCATACTTTTACTCAAGCTTATTTTAAACTGCCAAGAGTTGTGACCGAAATATCTTAAAAGGAATGTCACAAACTGATAATGGGAGCTGCTTCTGCCAACTGGTTTTTAAAAGTGCAAGCTTCACAGCAGTCATCTGCACTCTAACTTTACTACTTACTGTGCAACTAACCACTGAAGAAAAGAACATGATGGCCCAAAGCTTACACCTGCCAATAAACCCATGGCTGCTTAGGTTTTATCCTACGTTCACGTTAATGAAATAAAACACTTTTCCACTATAGAACATATCACATGATTTCGGGAGTGCCAGGAGGAGATCAAATCTGGCAACAGATTTTGTATTAATGAACAGCATTTATTTCCTGCGGAAGCTATTAGAAACTACTGATGTCTGGTACTCACACCGTGCCTGGGTAGGTTCTGTTTGGCAGCTTTAGTGCCTGGATGTAGAAGGAATCCTCCAGAGCAAGCTCCTCCTTCTGGAAAGCAGTAAGCTGTTTGCGGATTTCCTTTCCACGAATAATAATGGACTGGTAGCTGGGAAGCTAAGACACAGGTAACATCAAGGCAAGCTAATGCTTTCCAGGAAATGCTGCAGCTGTGCTAAGATTAGAAAATTGATTCAATTCACCTTAGTTTAGAATTCACTGTCCTCAACTACAACAACACACTTCTCCATTAAGGGTAAGTAGGAATATCTTTTCTAACACCTGTGGTTCTAAACTCAGTCTCTTGACTTTATGCATCTGCAATCGCATACAAAATTCAAAAGTAGATTTGAATCTGATAGTTGGCTGTAAGAAACTTTTTAGAACCAGCATCTTATTGATTATTTCATATGCAGAAATTAACAAATATGCAGATTGTATCCAAGCACCACAAACAGTTCATGATAGATCCATCCCACACATGTACTTCTTGGGACTAATATATAATTGTGAATGCATGACACATGCTGGTAATAAGATTATGTAAGCACCCTGGTTTAAAGGAACAATATCCAGCTAATCACTATGCTAAAAAAAAAAAACCCCCCAAAAAAAAAAAAAAACACACAACTAAGCTAAAAGCTCCTTGTACCTAAATCCATGGTCATGTGATGCACTGGGCCCAGAATCTCTTCTGCTTCCTCACTGCAGACAAGGGAGGTCCTTCAATTGACCTGGACACTTCTTATTGGCTGTTCAGCAGTGAGACCTCTCAGGCTCCAGAAGACTGCACACCATGTTTGATAAAATGTTGTAAATGGGTTGGTGGTGGGAAGGTGGAAGGGTAGATAGTGATGCCCAGGGATAGACTTTAAATACATAGAGTGAGCAGTTAAATGGAAACAATAATATGAAAAACATACAAGAGTAATAAACGAAAAGTGTATAAAAAAAATACACCAATGTCGAAGAAAAAAAAAAAAAAAAGAAGAAGAAGAAGAGGCATCTACTTTAGGAATTTCTGCAAAAACCCCCCCCAAAAAACAGTAAGTTCCTTTAGCTGGTGTGCTGCCATCATCTATTTCCAGCAACAAAAGTAGCCATACTCAAGCATCACCAGATTACTGGTGAGAGTGTGGTGGATTAAAGTACAATGATCATTTTGATTTAGAACTTCTCTGCACAAGTTTGTTTAATTCACTTGATCATTTTGATCAAAATATTTTGACTGGTCTGACCAGATCAACTTCTACCACAACTTTCTATTGCGTCAAACAATTGGTTTCTTTAGAAAGACTGTTCGAAACTATCTAGGATTGACTTACAAAATTCATCCAATTTATATTTAATCAGGTTGAAAATTGTGTTACACAAATTGTTGGTAAAGTGAAAGTAGATTTTATTTATAACTTAGGAAAGATTTTACCATCATATTGTACTGTGTGTCCAGTTTTCATACAATACTGGCCCTACTCATAACTTTTTTCCTCACAAAAATAATTCCAAATTATACCAGAACTTACCGATTGCACACTCTCCTGATCATGTGTGACCTGTGGGAGACACAATTAGAAAACAATCAAATATCAGAAAAGATTACAAAATAGTTGCATGGTTTAAAAAAAACACACACACACTTTCATGACTATTGATAGGTTAAATTAACAACACTGACAATGGAACCTGAAAGTAAGTGGGGTATCAGTTTGAATACATCAGAATACTTGAAGAGGTCATGCTGCCTTATGCTGAAGAGGAAATGCCCTTGAAATGGGTGTTCCAACAAGACAACGACCCCAAACACACCAGTAAACGTGCAACATCTTGGCTCCAGACCAACAAGATTGACGTTATGGAGTGGCCAGTCCAATCCCCGGATCTTAATCCAATAGAAAACTTGTGGGGTGACATCAAAAATGCAGTTTCTGAGGCAAAACCAAGAAATAGAGAAGAACTGTGGAATGTAGTCCAATCATCCTGGGCTGGAATACCTGTTCACAGGTGCCAGACGTTGGGTGACTCCATGCAACACAGATGTACAGCAGTTCTCAGAAACAGTGCTTATACAACGAAATATTCATTAAGTGATTCAAAGGAAAGCAAAATCTTCAAACATTTTTCAGTTTATATAGTGAATGTTTGAGTTTGTAAAGAAGAATACAAACACTGCTATTTTTTTTTAACAGTCTAATATTTACTTTTCTTTAATTTGTGTGTATGGAAATAAAAGCCATTAGAAGGATTTTGAGCTTTATTCACTTTTTTCAACACACTGCTATTATTTTGAACATAACTGTACATGGTTATGTGCGCATCAGAACTGGACCAAGGAGCAGGTGGCCTGGTCTGATGAATCATGTTTTCTTTTACATCATGTGGATGGTCCGGTGCGTGTGTGCTGCTTATCCGGGAAGAATGGCACCAGGATGCAGTATTATTATTATACAGGATTTATATAGCGCCAACAGTTTGCTCAGCGCTTTACAATATAAAATGGGAAACAATACAGTTCAATACAAGTGGGTTAGGAAGGCCCTGCTCCTTGGAGCTTACAATCTAAGTAGTATGGGAAGAACACAATGTGATGTTTTGAGCAATTTTCTGCCGCGAAACCTGGGGCCTGTCAGTCATGTGGATATTACTTGACACGCACAGCCTAGACATTGTTGCTGACCAACTAAATCCCTTCATGGAAATGGTATTCTCTGATGGCAGTGGGCTCTTAGCAGGATAATGTACACTTCCACACAGCAAAAAAGGTTCAAGATTAGTTAAAACAACACAATGGGTTCAAGGCCTCCAAATTTTCTAGATTTCAATTCAATTGTGCATCTGTGGGATGTGCTTGAAAAACAAGTCCTGTCCATGGACACCCCACCTCACAACTTACAGGACTTAAAAAAGATCTGCTACTGATGGCTTGGTGCCAGACACCACAGCATACCGTCAGAGGTCTAGTGGCATCCATGCCTCAGTGGGTTGGGACCTAATGTTAGGTGGGTGGTCAGAAAGTTATGGCTGATTGAGAGAGACATGAGGGGCATTCATGTCAAACTGGGATTTTGAGTTTATATTATAAAAGAACAAAATTTCAAGAAGTGGAAAACTGTATTTTTTTTTACATACTTACCTGTAAAATCCATTTTTTGGAGTACATCACGCGACACAGAGTAGGCTATTCATGACTATATGGGCTATACGCCACCTATGGTGAAGAGACACTGGCCGACCAATCAGAGAGGAAGTCCTCCCCTATATATATATCCCCTCCTATACAGGAAGTACTTCAGTTTTTGTAGCAAACAATGAAATTCTAGAAACAGGGGTGGGGACTTCTGTGTCCTGTGATGTACTCCAAGAAACAGATTTTACAGGTCAGTATGTAGAAAAAAAATCTAATTTTCTTTATCGTACATCACGGGACACAGAGCAGGCTATTCATGACTATGTGGGATGTCCTAAATCAAAAAAGAAATTTGAAGGGAGGGTGACACCATGATAGCCACCTTCAACAATCCCTCAGGAACTACTCAGCCGTCCGTAAAACACTGCAGTCACAGGCAGAGTCCTCTGCGGTTCTGACATCCACCTGGTAGAACCTTGTGAATGTGTGAACTGAAGACCATGCTGCGACCTTGTAAACCTGAGCCGCTGACGCTTGATGATGGATTGCCCAAGATGTCCCCACACTCTTGGTAGAGTGTGCCCTTACCTTTCATACCATAGGCTTGAATGATCAATTGGCGAATCCAAATGTGAAATAATCACCTTGGATGTCGCCTGCCCTTTCCTAGTCCCCTTTGGCAGCATGAACAGAGCATTCGACCTCCTGACCTGTGTCATCACCTTCAAGAAGACCCTTACAGCGCATATCACATCCAAGGTATGCAGAGATCTTTCCCTTGCTGACTGAGGCCTAGGGAAGAATGAAGGCAGAACTATGTCCTGATTGAGATGAAAACTAGAAACCACCTTTGGTAAAAGTCAGTTGAGGTCGCAACACCACCTTATCTTGATGCAAAACCAGAATTGGTTCTCTGCAAGAAACAGCTGCCAGCTCCGACACATTTCTCATAGAAGTGATTGCCACTAGAAAGAAAACCTTACGAGTCAACAGGACCAGTGGAACTATCCCTAATAGGGTCAAATGGTGGTTTCTGCAAAACCTTCAAAACCAAGTTCAGGTCCCAAAGGACAAAAAGGTAACCTGACAGGAGGAGCAATATGCATTACTCGTATAAATGTGCGAACCAAGAGTGAAACACAATGGGCCTCTGGAAAAAAACAGCTAATGGTGAAACCTGGCCCTTAGTGCTACCAACAGCCAATTTCTTCTCCAACCCTGATTGAAGAAACAACAGAATCCTACCAATCACATATTTTCGTGGGTGCCAAATTCTGTAATAAAATGTTCCTAGAAAACATTTTTTTTTGTGCTCAACATATTGGGGATGACTGAATCAGATACTTCAGGAACAGGGTCTCAATTTTTCTGGCTTGCACACTCAACAGGCTGCTGTACACACGGGCCGACTGTCAGGGCAGTTTTGTGCAATAGGGTCATCCGTGACATTTCCTTGCTACTAAATATTCCCCGGTCAGCTGTTAGTGGTATTATAACAAAGTGGAAGCAACTGGGAACAACAGCAACTGAGCCACCAAGTGGTAGGCCACGTAAAATGACAGAGCGGGGTCAGCGCATGCTGAAGCGCACAGTGCTCAGAAGTCGCCAACTATCTGCAGAATCAATAGCTAAAGACCTCCAAACTTCATGTGGCCTTCAGATTAGCACAACAGTGCGTAGAGAGCTTCATGAAATGGGTTTTCATGGCCGAGCAGCTGCATCCAAGTCTTACATCACCAAGTGCAATGCACACCGCCACTGGACTATAGAGCAGTGGAGACGTTCTCTGGAGTGAAGGATCATGCTTCTCTGTCTGGCAATCCGATGGACGTGTCTGGGTTTGGCAGTTGCCAGGAGAATGGTAATTGGCTGACTGCATTGTGCCAAGTGTAAAGTTTGGTAGAGGGGGGATTATGGTGTGGGGTTGTTTTTCAGGGGTTGGGTTGGCCCCTTAGTTTCCAGTGAAGGGAACTCTTTAAGGCGTCAGCATACCAAGACACTTTGGACAATTTCATGCTCCCAACTTTGTGAGAACAGTTTGGGGATTGCCCCTTCCTGTTCCAACATGACTGCGCACCAGTGCACAAAGCAAGGTCCATAAAGACATGGCTGAGCGAGTTTGGGGTGGAGGAACTTGACTAACCCATAGAATACATTTGGGACGAATTAAAGCGGAAACTGCGAGCCAGGCCTTCTCGCCCGACATCAGTGCCTGACCTCCCAAATGCGCTTTTGGAAGAATGTCAGGGATGCGCAAATTATATCGCCCAACGTCCAGGACATGCAGTTCTGGGCGCCGAGCAGATGTTTTTCTTTTACGGTTAGCCCTGCTGCGGGCAAGTAGCAGGGTTTACTTTTTTTTTTGCTCAGGTGATTTCCATTCTAAGCAGAAGTGATGAAGTCACTTCTGCAAGCAGTGGAAGGCCCCCCCCCCCCAAGTCCTGCTGTGGGTTCTTGTATGATGTGCACGCTGCACTGCCCCGGAAGAGTTCCATAGTGAGGACCGGACGGAGGAGATCAGAGCCACGGGAGGCCGGGCTCTGGAGTCCATGTCTGCCCACTTAACTAGAGGCAGAGGAAGAGAGCTGAGAGGAGGAGAGAGACAGAGCCGTCTGCTGGACACACCTCCTCCAGAACAATATGGCCTCACCTCCACCTGCACAACCGACAACTGGACTGGCCCTCACGTTAGCCAGCAGTTAGTGAACCCTACCCAGGGACGACATGTCACTTATGCTAGCAGCCAGAAAAGCAGCAAATCAGACCAATCTGTCTCTGATTGGCTGCATTGACGCACAGAGGAGAGATCTGAGTTCTAACACCCGCCACGTAGAAGCTGCCTGGGGCCTGACTTACAATGTCCACCCCGTAAACTCACCTGGCCTTGCTGTCCCCAGTCGATGCCGTGGGAGAGAGGAGGTACCTGACAGGGAAAGAGTCACACTCTGACCTCTTGCAGGGATGCTCTAGACTGGATGGAAGACACACTAGAGATCTGGAGGACAGGAGACATCAAAAGACACAGGACATTGGATCACAGGACATCCTGAGACCCAGCCCAGACCCATCCTCAGGTGATTCTACAATCTGGGACAGGAGACTCCGACGGGGGAAGAAGAGGGCACAGAGACAGACGGACCCAGAACCCCAGGCTCGGAAGGTGATGGTGAGTTGCCGTGGGCAACTGCAGGAGATTTAAAGTCGATGTCTACTGTTGCTAAACAATTGTATACCGGAGTTGAAGGGATGGGCGGGCAGAAGATTAAGGAGTTGGGATATATCTGGGGCCAAGTATTGTTGCTAATGATGTGTGCGTTATGTTTTTTCGGGACTGAAAAGTTACTGGAAAAGAATAAGGAAGATGCACCCCCCCCCCAATAGGTGTGAAAATATTGTACTTTTGAACCTTGAGTAGAATATCTGTGGCTC